CTTGTAAAGGTTTGGAGTGACTAGTATACATATCAGTCCTGTTTTTCTCTGTTTTTACCTCATATGTGTGCTGAAAGTAGGGCTTTTTTTTACTGCTGAAGTTCACGACAGCAGTGGTGTGGTGGTAGTTGTATTGTGTTGAATGGTGTATCGATGATTTTGAATATTTAAAAGTGAACCCTTGTATCCGGTGTGAGAATAGTTCTGCAGTGTGCAGTACAAGTGTTTGATTTAATGACTAAGTGACTTCAGCCCTTATATTTGGTGGGTGAATGGTTCTGYAGTGTGCAGTACAGATGTTTGATGTAATGACTGAGTGATTTCAGCTTTAGTATTTTATGTGCAATGTATTAAGTTGAACGGTGAGAATTATGTGCCGTGGGCAAAATCTATGGAAGTGTTCTTGAAGGCCAAGAGAAGGGTAAAACATGTGAGAGAGGAGAAACCTTCCTCTGATTCTCCGGGGTTCAGTGACTGGGAACAAAAAGATGCACAGATAATGACATGGCTATGGAATAGCATGGAACCAAAAATTAATGTGAACTTTATGTTCCTAGATACAGCTAAACAAATCTGGGATCATGCTAAGAAGCTATACTTCGGACAAGACAATACAACTAGGGTGTATCCGTTGTACCAAGAGTATTTTAATCTGAAGCAAGGTAGTCAAAGCTTAGAGGAATACTATGCAAGTCTGAGGAATATCCGAAATGAGCTCAATGTGTATCATCCTCTGACATCATATGTTCAAATTCAACAACAACAGCGTGAGCAACTTGATGTGACAAGGTTTCTGGTGGGTTTGAAGGCTGAGTATGAGTCCGTCCGAGCACAAATACTAGGATGGTCTGCTCTTCCCTCACTTGAGGAGGTTTTTGCCTGTCTTAAGAGGACATCTATTGAGTCTGTAGAGCATTCCTCTCTCTCGGACAGATATGCTTTCGTGGTGACTAAAAGGGGTGGCCGTGGAAATAGAAGTGGTGGTGGTGGTAGTGGACCTCCAAGTAACTGTGGTGGTCCCATGTTTAACCGTGCTGGTGGCCGGAGTGGAGGTCGGGACTCAGGGGGAGGTCGTGGTAAAGGAAGAAGTAATGCCCCTAGGAAGTGTACTCATTGTGGTTTGGAGGGGCACACGGTTAACTTCTGCTATGATTTACG